CTACTACTACTACTACTACTTCGACGGCGAGGACTGCTACCACTCTTGCTTTTGCAACTTTAGCAATATGCTACTGCGAACTGCAATGTTTGGGATTGTAGTCGAGCTGCCAGGCTGCAAAGCCGAAATCTGAAGGTCCAGCGCTGACCGAGGAGGCCTGAAATCCTGCTGGAACTGAGGAGCTTCATGAAGCTCGCCACTGCATGCCTCTGACGTTCCCGCACAGTCGGGGCTTCATTCTGCAGCTCTAACACCGCATGCAATGCCTGTGTCAGGGATGGTCGATAGAGCTCTTCACGCCCTGCCAGGTCTGCAGCAAGTGGCTGAGAGTCATGAGCAGCCACAGGCCTCTCCATCAAAGCTCGGGTCTGCAAGACACGAGACACGTCTACTCGCGGCACGTGTTGCAGGCTGATCTGCATTTGGTGCCTGGGTCCCGAGCCGACGACTGAGCTTGGCTTGATATCCTCAGATGGAGGCCATGTTCAAACGAAGCATTGCCAGATGGCAACAAAGGAACGGGACGCTCGAATTGAAGCCCTGGGACGAGGATGCCGAGTCCATGCAGGCGAGTCGCACTCCCATGATGGATGTAGAACATCGACAGAGAACAGGTGTCCATGAGACCTGGTCGCCTGGTAATTGCTCGTGGCATGCTCAGCAAAAATCCTAGTATGCGTGCAACGCAGCTGCTGCTCGTTCCTTCCGTTCTTCATCGAGGTGCCGATGCGCTTCACCATCGCTTTTCGTCTGTGGGCTGTGCGGGGGTCCCGCATGGCAAAAATGTACATGTTGCATGCAAGGGAGAAAAGAGAGAAGCTACGTAGGCTCTTGATTTTTGATCTGATCTGACCCTGACGCCCACCGTGTCTTTAGTTTAAATGCGGGATCCAGTTCTGCCCCAACACCTGCCCAGGCCTACTGCTTGACATGTTTTTTCAACAACATCGTCGCAGCGGAGCAGGAGGGTTGTCTCACAGAAACAATGTGTCAGTGCTTGAGCTTTCGATGTTGGGAGGAGCCGGTGAGCCCGTGTGGCTTCGCCGGTGGCCTAGCCAGGGCTTGTGCGGCAGTCCTTCGCAAGCTTCCCTATGTCAGGCTTTCCATCCGCACCCCTGTCCCTGCAGGCCCTGCAACAGTGGGCCAAAGAGAGGATGACTCGCTACAAGCAGAGCACGGTGCAGGAAGGGCAGCCCCCATGCACTACAGTGTCACTACACACTCTGAGTGCATTTTCGCTTGGAGACAGGAGCAGAGATACATGGAGATGCCCCGGGACTGGGAAGAGAAAATCAACCGAGAGATGGTAAATGTGGGCATCTTACGCTGATACTGTGCATCTCACTCTGTGCCCATGCTGCAATTTCTTTCCGAATTCGCTGCCAACACGCGGCGTCTTTCAGCGGGTGAGCGTGCCGGAGAGACTCTGCGGTTTGCCCAGACGCAGCGGATTGCTCTTCGAACAGCCTGCACGAAGCAGCCTGGAACGTCGGAGTCTCAGCGGCCGCATGCACTGTCTTGACTAATGCCTTTCCCTGCGGAGCTGGATCGGGAGATCAGCATTCCAAACCAACCAGCTCGATCCAAGCCTGTTGTCGTGCTGCTCTGCATCCAAAAGACTTGCACCAGTTGGACTGCCTGGATCTTTGTCTGGAACCTCGGCAAAATGTCAGAAGTCGAGCAAGTGACCTTTCAGCAAACCCACTTTCAGCTCTTCCGTGTGCCGTGTTCTGACAGCAACGCGGCTGGAAAGCTTAGAGCGTAGATGCCTTGAAACGTGACCGGGCCCTCGTGCAGGGAAGATCCGCTGGGCTTTGCCTTGGCCATGAATTCTGGTCCAGACTACGCGCTTAGCGCCGGGACCTCGCTCGCTGGACGTTCGCGGTCAGGCGTCTCATGCTAGTTCCGCCACAGGTCCCCATGATGAGATGGGAGCACGAGATGGTTTACGAAGACGATATTATGGCACCTTCACTCAGTGATTTCTGCGATGTCAGCCGAGTGCCTCAGATCATCGGATGTGAGGCATGGCAGCATGGGAAGACGTGCTGCATGCACGGTGCTAGCCTCAAGTGCCACTTGAGTGTGCGAAATCCGGCTTCCAAGGAGCGACATGTCCGTACAATGTAACCCTATGCAGCCCTGCCTACACCCTACAAAGTAGTACCTTTAAGCATGGGAACTATCCCTCAAAGCAACAGGTTTTTGCATCGACAGGTAGTGGTTCGGCAACTGGGACCCCGCAGGCCGTACCACCGTACCAGAGAATTACTGGGCGTAAGCTCCCTCTCTCTCTCTCTCCCTCGCTCCCTCGCTCCTTCCTCCCTCACTCCCTAAGTGGCTTGGCGGCGGTGCCGTCGAAGAAGACTTTGCAATCCGGGTGGTGCTAGGGGGTGTTCTGAAAGTGCGGGTGAGTAGATCGAGGCAAGATAGACTCAGCCTTGTGAATGGTATGCATTCTGCGCTCCAAGCACCACGCCGCGGGCAAAGGTGCGTTCATCGAAGGCATTGAGCTCTTCGACTGCACTGCCTTCCGGATTTCGAGGGCAGAAGCTTCCGGCTTGGCACTTAGTCACCAGAGCCCCTGGAGGCACCAGAAAGAAAGCTGGATTAGCCAGTTGTTGATCTACCAGGAGTGCTGTAGCTTGTGAGAACTGATCCAGACGAGGCATGGACCCCGGCCATCGTCTCACCTTGGAGACAGGGTACGAGGCCGCACGAGTCGCTTGAGGTTGTAAGTTCGACCGCAGAGCCATGTCAATCTTCGGACCTTTGCCTGCCGATGGCGAGTGGGCTCTGCGCTGAAGCACTCCCCAAGTTCAGGCGCTCGTGAAGGACGGCTACCGAGCCAACACTCTCATGAACAGTCGGGGCGGCGTGTGCGCCACGGGCAGTCATGTAGGACACCATGCGCATTGAACTTCGCCCAAGAGCCCGGTGCTGCACTGGTTTGCAAGGTACGTCGCAAATCCTCCGCCAGTGGAGTGGGCAATGACACCCAAGGACATCGCTGCCGGCGGGGTGTGTGGCCGTGGCCTGAGGTTGTATGCCGGTGAAGACAATTGACAACTACGGAGCCCCGAATGCCATGTGCTCCTCTTCGTTTTGGAGCGGACGGCATCATCAATTATATGTCTTGGTGCTGCTTCTTCAGGTGGTGGTGGCAGCATCGCCTGTGGCCGCTTCTCCTTCGTGCATGGCCTCAAGGCTCCTCTAGTTCTCTTGTGCCTATGCCAGCAAACACATGCTAGCATCGATTGTGCCCAGTCTGTGGAAACAGCAACCTTTTCTCTGCACAGGGCCCGTGCATCAGCGTCGATGTTGAGGGAGCCTCCTCACTGGTTGTCGTGAACTATGCTTGGTGCTGCTCGCCCGTTCTGATGCTGTCATTGTGATAAGGGAGCATGGTCTGCGTATGCAGCATCATATTTATCATGGATTTTGGGAGTGTATACAGGGCTCCTCAGGAATATTGATGAAGCATGTGTTTTATGGTTTTATTATGGGGATAGTGGGATACTAGTAGTAGCACATTGCTCTGGGATTCGGGAATCGCTCTTTCGAACGCGCCAGTTGAGCCACTTGACAACTTGAAAAATGTATAACGCTTCGCGTGTTCAAGCGGCATGCGCCACTTGACCGCTTGACAAAATGGCCGACGCTACGACTTCGCGTGGTGGGCCACTTGCACCACTTGCCAAGGTTCAGGGTTGAGAGGTTTGGGTTTAGGGGTTAGGGGTTTAGGGGTTTAGGGGTTTAGGGGTTTAAGGGTTTAGGGAGGGCTTAGGCTTCAGGGTTAGGTGTTGGGGTGTTGGGGCTCATTTTTGGCAATATCACCAAACCCCACTTTCGATGGAACTTCCCAGGTTCAGGATTTAGGGTTTAGGATCCAGGGAATTTAGAGGCAGGAACGCGGCAGGAAGGACCAAGGGTTTAAAACGCGGTCTCAGAATTTGGAAAGGTTCAGGTGGACCAAGTGGTCAAGTGGAAGATTTCACTTAGCGGTTCCCGTTTCCCGGTGCACAGCAATAGCAGCCATACTTCATATCGCTTCATGTCTGTTGTGCTTGGACGAGTTCTGTGACTCGGAAGCTTTGTGAGCAACCTGCCAGTGCCAACTTGTCCTGGACGGGCGGCTGGGAGCCCATCCCCTTCGCGCTCTGCAACAGCTGGAACCTCCAGCTGAACCCTGCGTGCTGCTCTGAGATGCTCTGAGCGTCTTCTTGCAGGGTCCACATGTTGCCTGAGCACGGTCCCAACACGCAGTCGGAAAGTCGGCAGCAGCAAGTCGTGATAGCTCGAGCCGCAAAACAAACAGGGCTCCACTCGGAAGACGACACCACGACTCAACAGATTCAGGGTCTGCAGTCCTTCGCTCCTTCAGCGTGGCTTTGTGCCCATGTATGCACGTCTGCGTATACAGATAGCAGCGCACGAATGAATGCATGAGAGCATAGCTGAGGCAAGGTGAATGAAGCTTCAATGACAAAAAAGCCAAATACGCAGACAGTATCACGATCCATGTATGCATGCATGCATGCATGCATGCATGCATGCAGGGGTGTGTATGTATATATATATATATAGGTACAAATATCAGTATTTTCGGTATATGCACATTAGGTGTTGCGGGTCGTGCGCGCACGTATTGCTATCTGTGAACACAAGCATGCTCGCACCCATACCTGCATCCATACGCTTCTAATTGCAGTTCTGGGCAGAAGGAACATACTTGAGGATTGGAACAGCAAGCGTCCTGTACGCGACAATGAGGAAGCCAGGAGCAGTAGCCGTTTGCACGATTCAAGCCAGACCGCAGCAAGTGGATTCAACATGCTGCTTATCCAAATACTGTAGGTTTTGGTTGCATTATGTTGCAATGCCTGCTCTGCCCACATTGCTACAGCCGGAGCAGGACGTTCGAAGCGTGCGTAAGACTGAGTTCTTCGCCCGATCGAGATCACGTCCTTCCTAGACATCTAACATGAGTCCACAGTGCCCTCATGTTCTCGCCTGTCCCCTCAATTCAGCTTCAGCTCCTGATTGGTGGTCCATTCTCTTGCAGAGACCTACCCAAGTGCTGGAAACCTGGATGAGGCCGTACGTCCACCTAAGCTCGTGCGGACTGCTGTCGCCCAAGGCACCTGGCCGCGAAAGTAAGGGGTCTTGCTGTTTATGGATGTCGCGTTCTCAAGTGCGAATATGATGAAACTGGATGGCAGGGCCGAACCTTTGCGTTCGATGCTTCTGCCTGTGGTTCGGATCTCAGACCACACTGTACTTGGAGGTTCATGGGTAGTTATAAGTTGGGTTATAAGTCCCCTAATATGGGTTATAAGTATAGTTACCCTACTTATGAGCCTATTTATAACTACCCATGAACCCTAAACCCTAAACCCTAAACCCTAAACCCTAAACCCTAACCCATGAACCTCCAAGTAGTGTGGCAGTCGGGTTTTCGTCGGTTAGCCTTTGGATCCTCGCAGCGGCTCAAAAGCAACAGCAGGGCTCCGCTGGAATTGGTATTATTATCATAATTATCATAATTATTATAATTATTATTATTACTTTTATTATTATTACTACTATTATTAGTATTACTACTATTATTATTATTACTATTATTACTGGGGCTCGACTTTGGGGTTGGAAGGGTCGACGCTGCGAGGGCCTCGACTCTGTGCTTTCGAGGATGGCGGCAGACAGGTACACGCATGGGCATCATAGCAGTGTTGTTGCTCAGCACGCTGCCCGGACCGTTGAAAACTGCGCGAATTTTCTTATACCTCACTTGCAATCAGATTTCGCACTGCTGGATGTGGGATGCGGGCCGGGCTCCATCACCCGGGGCTTTGCGAAGTATGTCAAGTCCGTGACGGGTGTGGATAACTCTGAGTCTGTGATCGCACAGGCCCACGAGGCATCAGGCGAGAATGGGGCAGAAGGCGTCAAATTCCAGACTGCCAGCCGGACCCTGAGTTTCTCAATCCGGGTCGTGAGAAGCTCGGGAGCTGCAAGGCTCCAACAGCTGAGGTGTCTACGACCTCCCTTTCCAAGATGCAACCTTTGACGTGGTTTATGCCCACCAAGTTCTGCAGCACTTGTCAGAGCCTATCGCAGCATTGCGGGAGATGAGGCGTGTTTGCAAGGCAGGGGGCCTGATCGGCGTCAAAGATGCGATATATTCCACGATGCGCGGCTCGCCAGCACTGCCGGGAATTGACAAGTGGAGGGATGTTTACATGGCCACAGCCCGTCAGAACAAAGCTGAGCCCGATGCAGGGCTTCTTCTGAAAAGATGGCTGCGTGAGGCTGAACTCAAGGACGTCGACTACACAACTTCCACAGTCACCTATTCGTCGGCCAACGAAGTTGCAAGAAAGAACTGGGGCGAATCCTGGGCGGAGCGCACGGTTCATTCCTTTGGGATGCAAGCCCTCGAATATGGCATTGCAAAGGAGTCGGAGTTACAAGAGGTCGCATCTGCATGGAAGCAATGGGCAGCAGATCCAGAGAGTATTTTTCTCTTCGTGAATGGAGAGTGCCTGGGTAGGAAGTAGCTTAACACGTACCCGTCCCTACAGTTCTTCTCTATCCGGCTTCTTTTGCATCGGCTTCTCGTTCTCGGCGCGAACACGGCTTTGCACGGGAAATGCGCAAGAGCATCCTGCACAGAAGATGGACACATCGGGATGGCGTAGAGCATGTCGCGGCACTGCTACAGCGCTGTCCAGGCGAAAAAGGCAACCACTGACAGCTCTAAGTTTGTTGAGTGTTGGCAGCATCAGTGTCAGATTGCCCTGTCGTACTCGGACAAGTGTTTATAACGCGTAGAAGCACCCCAAGCCACAGAGTGTCTGGAAACCGGCGCGGCTGAGGCTACATCCGTGGAGACTGTGTGACCTCCATCGTGCTTAAGGCCTGTAAAGAGGTCATGCTATTTGGACTGGCAAGTCGCTTAAGGAGACTCAGCCTCTGAGATCTCGACTTGGGCGGTTTGCTCGCATCAGCTCTGTGGAGATGGGAATGCATCAGCCGCCAAGTGAGTCACGTAGGGGCAGCTGTGGAGCCAACGGTTTGATATCCTCTGGAAGATGCACAGGCAGGCAACGTTGAGGGAGAGGCGCCCAGCTATGCAGCCGTTGGATCGTATGGAAGCCTTATTGCGAGCCTTTATCGACCGCAGTGTGCCTGATCCCGGGAAGGCGGAGAACGAACTTGGATACCTTGCCGGAAGTGCCACGAATCAGAGTGGAAGGCCAGGTAGTGCAAGGCAGGCTTCTATGGTTTTCGAGACTCGGATGGACTCTCCTGTCTAGGAGAAGTCACCTTGCTGCCCCTGACTGTCTCGCACTGCAAGAAGTGATTCACGAGGCCGTGTCCCGACATGTCGGCTACTTCCGTGCAGCCACGTCGGCATGAGCTTCCGCAAGACATGCCCTCTCGATCCTGCTTGAGATGCCAGGCCTTGCGGCAAACACAGATTACTGGTCTGGATGTCGATGCGGTGGAAAGCTGTGCGGATGGCAAGATCCTGGACGATTCCCTGGAGGCTTGACATTGCTGTTGTTCTTTTCTAGAACTTCAGTTCTTTTTTTGTTCTCTCTCTCTCTCTCCATGAACCCGTGGAGGGCCCTCTGCCACAGGCCCCTCCAAAAGGATGTGAAAACTGCGACTCAGCATCATCAGGGTTCACAGGCACAGCTACGCAAGGAACCGCAACTTCAAGAGCCCTACTATAGAGCTCTGCGACGGTAAACACGGCAACCTCCCGGACAAGCTCACATGGTAAAGTAAAAGCGCTTGCGTCAAGCGGTCTCCTGCGCAAAAATTTGCAAAGCAGTACAGTTGTTGTCTGTTACGCTGCTGCATAGCTGCAGAGGACGGAGACGAAAACGAATTGGCTGTCTGATTAGTTTTTTGCTGATTGTACGTACTTTTCCTCTACTATGTCGTGCTTGCCACATCGCTCCAGATCTCTGAGCTTTTCTCAGGCGACCGCCTTTGCTCGAGCGTACCGACCACAGGCGAAACTAGCCGCTTAAGGGTTTAGGGAGGGTTTGGGCTGTCTCGGCCTTCACGCGCTGGCGGCTGCACGGGAGTTCTCGCAGGGCACCCTGAACGTCGATGATACAGCTCCGCTTGGCATCATCTCAGCCAAGTCGGGTGTGGAGGGCTCAGCAATCACAGGCCAATCCCAACCCTTCTCGGCCCTTCCCGGCCTGGCCAAGTGTTCGTCACCAGGTCGGAAACCAGCTGGAGGCCGCGGGCATCTCACAGATCCTCAAGGTCGGGCCTGAGAAGCACACGTCTTGCAAGCGAAGCCGTAGTTATTCCGGCTCGAAGCTGACCGGCAACATAGCCGTGTCGAGAGTGATGTGGTGGGGTGTTTAGCTTGTGTTTTGGACACGAGGGCTAGGGGCCTACGGGCCTACGTCCAAAACCAAACCCTCCGTACGAAACCCTCCACCCCGACCCCCAATCTTACTACCTAAGCCAAAATCAAAACACACAAAAAGCGCGCTCAACAGAAACTTCATGAGGGAACTGGAAGGAAGGTTCCAGCATTTTCCGGGACCCGAGAGTCGGGCCTAGTTGGGGCTCCAGCACAATGCATTAAAAACCGGCGAGTTTGAACTAGAGGGTAAAAACGAATCTGGAACCACTTCTCCCTGCCTTGGCGTGCCCCGGAGGTGATCTTGGGATCACGCCGCGCCCTTGGGCCTCTCAGGCTTCGGCCTAGCACAAAGGATGTTCCTGCCGACGGTTGCTGGAAGATGTAGTGGGTTGCAAAGGTCGGTGGGTTAGTGTTTCTGGTGTCCTCAGTTCTGGAGATTAATGGAAGTGTGTTCGGTATTGCCACGACTGGCAGCATCGCGCCGAGGTGCAGCAGCCTTCCACCCAACGCCCCATCTTAGGCAGGGGCGGGTACTTGCTTACCTGCGACTTGCAAAATGCTGTTGGTCAGGATCGTGAATCCGCACATCGACATAGAGATGTGCGAGCGGCCTTGCCCTGAAGTGCCTTCAGATCATTTTGAACTTGAAGACGCCGTGTCGGTGCCCGGCGGCCGATCTTGTTTCGTTGTCGTGTTGAGGAATGCCATAATCGCGGGTGAGAGCTTGGACTTCAGACTGCCGTCAACTTACACGGGTTCAAGCCTTAGTCGCTGAGCGAATGGCCTAGCATGCGAGCAATAGCAGATTGCACTCCAAGATATTATCTTTCCCTTGTACGGCGTCTCCTCTCAACTCCGGGTGTGATTAGCCTGAAAATTGTAGCCTCTTGTCCATATCCGCAATATCTCAAGCGCCTTGCAGCCAACTGGCAGCTGTAGCTGCTACTAGTAGCTGGTGAGTGGAGATTAACTGCTGAAATGCTGGTTTTGTAGAAGCAGTAGCAGTAGTGGTGGTGGCGGTGGTAGCTACCTACTGTACCCGTCGCTTGAACCGATCGGCAAGCGGTATGGAGGAAGGGGGGAAGACGGATAACGACAAATATGGCAGCCTCAATCAGCGCGTTATTCTGATGCCATTCTGGCTTGCGGTTAGAGAGTGGGATGATGATGACCATGATCATGATGTTGATGATGCACATGCATATGATGATTGTTAGTTGCGTGTTGAACAGTTTCTCAGGTTTAGAGGGTTCCTGCACAATGTTACCTGCTTCTACCCCCGCATCTTCACTTTCAGAGAGTGTGTTTTCCTCGTGCTGTTTGTTCACTGTTTGCCCAACGGCTTAAGCGACAGGTAGTTGGTGGGTGGGGCGGCTAGTTGCAGTAGTGGTAGTAGTGGTAATGGTGGTAATTAGTAGTGGTTGTAGTGGTGGTAGTGGTAGTAGTGAGTAGAGTTGGTAGCGGTGGCAGTGGTGGTAGTGGTAGTAGTGCTGGTAGTGGTAGTAGT